AGAGACTGTATGTGACAGTACAGGGAGTTCCTGTTTTAATCCTCAAAGTGAAGTGTCGTCTCATTATTGGGGGAAGGATTTATTGTATGCTGTTCCAGTTTGACTGCTAGGAGAGTAAACCTATTCGTATGGTTCCTATTCAACCGTCTACAGCATTCATATGCTTGAGAGGATTCATATGCTTCTCCGGTTCGGTGGTTGTGGTGTCTGCTGCAGTGCTTTGAGTCCTCAGGAAGCGCTAGGAGCATCCTTCAACGGAGGTACCCAGTCGGGGTGCCGGGCGCATCTGCTAAGTATTGGTGGCAGCGTGTGGATGGCGCCCTTGCGCGCAGGTAAAGCAGCCTGTGAGACACAGTTCGCTGGAGTTGGCAAATTGGAGGGCAACGCCACGCCGGGAGCAGAGGTGTATCTGCTTAATGGGAGGCTGCGCGAAGCGTTTCGGGCGATGAGCTGGATGGGCTGAAAGTGCAGCGTCGCGGCGTGGGGAGGATAATGGGCGAGGCCTGTGATTTCGGCTGTGTCATGCTGTAAAATGGCTGCTGGGCCTGGTGAATTCGTGCCTGGCGAAAGAGAGAGAGTATGCTCAGCGGAAGGAGTGTTACAGCAGCCGAGTAGAGGCTGCATCTGAGGAGGCTAGCCGTCTCCCCCTGAGGCGGCCGCAGGAACCCGAAGTAGGGGTCCTCATAGACTGGTCCTGTGAGGAACTACAACAGGCAGGTGGAGATGGGACCGGCCCAGATCCCCAGCAGCAGCCGGAGTTGCCAGGTGCGGAAGCAGGTGGTCCTTACTCGCAAATGTTGAGGGACCTCGCAGACTGGCCCTGGGAAGACCCACAGATGGCAGGTGGAGATGGGACGGCGGTCTCTCTACCGGCCCTACAGGGATGCTGGGTGGTCGGCCCAGATCCCCAGCGGCAGTGTGTACCCCAGGGAGCAGAAGGTGCCGTCCTTCCTCCCCAGCGGCAGTGTGAGTTCCAGGGAGCCGAAGGGGTCGTCCTTCCTCCCCAGCGGCAGTGTGAGTTCCAGGGAGCCGAAGGTGCTGTCCTTCCTCCCCAGCAACAGTGTGAGTTCCAGGGAGCCAAAGGTGCTGTCCTTCCTCCCCAGCGGCAGTGTGAGTCCCAGGGAGCTGAAGGTGCGGTCCTTCCTCCCCAGCAGCAGTCTTTTTCCCAGGGAACGGAAGGTGCAGTCCTTCCTCCCCAGCGGCAGTGTGTCCTGCAGGAAGCGGAGACAGTCTGTCTTTCACCCCAGCCGCAGGACAAAATATTGAAAGGGGAGACAGTTAGTCCCCCTCTCCACCAGCAAAGAGAGTGTCAGGGAGAGGAGCAGGTTACCCCCTCTCCCCAGCGGCAGTCTACAGTTCAGAGAGAGGAGCTTGTTACACCTTCTCTCCAGCGGCAGCCTAACCCACCAAGGGGAGATGTTAAGCCCCACAACTATGCAGATGGGACCGTAGTCTCTGCACTTGCAGCACCAGGGGTAGGGACAGTCGGTCCTGTCCCCAGCCACAGAGCAGTGTATCCAGAGGGGAGACAGTCGGTCTCCCCCTCCCACAACCAGGCTCCAACCAGGCTACTTCAGTGGTAGCACTGGCACCCGGGCAGAGTACCGCTGGTCTCTGCCCACTCAGCAACCCACCAAGGCAGTCTACCAGACCCCCGCACAGCTGTGGTGAGGCACCTGGACATGGACAAGTTGCTATTTTATCCAGGTGTAGTAACCAGTTATTGTGGGTGGGCTGCATTGCTGTTTGTGCTTCGTGGGTGGGTTGCTGGACTAACCAGGGCACTGACCGGCAGGAGGTCAGATACCCTGTTAGTCTGGATGGTAAAGGGGAGAAATGTGGCGAAACCGGCCTCGCCACGTGTCTTTGGAGGGGGTGCTTGCCCGCCTCTTGCCTTTGGACTATGGACCAGACTTTATGTGAAGGTATTAACCCAGATAGCTATGCCATGGAGCCCATTCGTGTAGTTAAAGACTTCGGCTCCATGGCAATTGAACTGTGTGAATAGGATCTGAGCGCTATTCGGTAGTTTTGTGCGCTCAGATCCCAGCTATCTGGGGATATGTGACATGTCTGTGTTTTATGTATAAAATGTGACTTTATGTATTTTAAAGTGTTTTGTGTCTTTTTGCAACCATGTGCTTAATGGAGTCTTGTGTCTGTCCTGGGAGATAATTGAATTACTCTCCAGGATAGAAGACTCTGAAACTGGTTTGGGCCAGAAAGCCATGCTTCATTTAGTCACAAAGGACTTTCCCTTAACTTTTGAACCCCTTGGTCTGATTCGTGCCATTTTTTAATATGTTGTTCCCCTGAATGGATTGATTATGAAAATGTATGTTTTATGTTTGTGACATGTATATTTTAGAAGTTATAAATATTGTGTAAAAACTGTATTCCTCTGCCGGTGATAATGAGATTACCCATTGTGTTCAGTAATCATATCACCTGCAGAGGGGAGGATTTTGTGTGGGAGTGTCTGGGTGTATTGTACGGATTGATTGGTTGTTTTGTAACGCCCTGTGGGCTGTACTATGTTTGTGGATTGGGAATAAAAGAGACTGTATGTGACAGTACAGGAGTTCCTGTTTTAACCCTCAAAGTGAAGTGTCGTCTCATTATTGGGGGAAGGATTTATTGTATGCTGTTCCAGTTTGACTGCTAGGAGAGTAAACCTATTCGTATGGTTCCTATTCAACGGTCTACAGCATTCATATGCTTGATAGCATTCATATGCTCCTACGGTTCGGTGGTTGTGGTGTCTGCTGCAGTGCTTGGAGTCCTCAGGAAGCGCTAGGAGCATCCTTTAACGGAGGTACCCAGTCGGGGTGCCGGGCAATCCGTTACACCTTCCTCTTCTCCCCCTCAAATTTCCTCCTCCCCTTTAATTTACTTCCTCTCCTCCCCCCTTAACTTTCCTTCCTCCCTCCTCTTAAATTTCCTTCCTCTTCCCCACCCCTTAAATTTCTTTCCTCCCCCTCCCTCCCTCAAATTTCCTTCCTCTCCCCCTGACACCCAGCCGGCGCGCGAGGGAGCACTCTCCCTGGCTGAGTGCTTACTCTTCAGCTCCCTCGCGCGCAGCGTACTGATGCCGGCACCGTACGATGACGTCATCTTCCGGCATCAGTGCGGTGCGCGAGGGAGCTGAAGAGGAAGCACACAGAGGAGAGTGCTCCCTCGCGCGCGCCCGCCCGCCGGGTGTCAGCAGGGCCAGCCTCTGGGGGGCCCTGAGGTGGCCAGCTGCTGGGCCTCACAGGAGAAGAGGCTGGCCCAGTGGGTACATACCGGGGTCACAGGGCCCCCTGCGACCCGGTATGTACCCACTGAATGTGGGGCCCGGACGACCTGAGAAGTCCGGGCCCCCCAGGACCGCCGGGCCCATGACAACCGTTACGGTTGTCATGCCTTGATGGTGGCCCTGGGTGAAGGAAATATGCCAAAGGAGAGAGAGAGATTGAAAATATTAGTGAAGTACAGAGCAAGGAAGGAGGCAGAGTGCAAGTGAGATACAAGGGAATAGTATTGAGGGAACAGGTGGAAGGGCGGGAGGACCAGACAAGAGCAGTAACTCCTTCTTTTGTAGCAGACAAAAATAAGCATAGAGCAGCAAAGGAAGTGGGTTTGGGGAAGTATTGCTAGGGTAGGAAGAGAGATGAGAGATCACTTCCCTGATTGTAGAAAACTTCTCAGTGAAGTGAGTTGCAAATGCTGTGGTGGTCAAGTTAGTAGGAGGAGAAGGAATAACAGGAAAAATAAGAGAGTTAAAAGTGTAAAATAGGCGTTTGGGTTCACGGGAGAGTGTGCTTACCAAGTTATTGATATAGTGTTCTTTTGCCAAGAGCCAAACTATCGGAGTGCAGGAGGAAGTCACATGCGGGGGGGTTTTGCTAAAACTCACAATGAACCATGATATTACACGAAGACTCACTCAGCTAAAACATCTTGCCGGATGTAGATCTCAATAGCTTAACAGTCTTGTGGTTTGCACTATTATTATAATCAGAAATGTAACATTTAAAAGAACAAAGATTGTGTGGTGTATCAACAAATTCTTACTTTTTTAACTGTTAAAAAATGGATGCTTTTGGTTGCTTTATGCCAGCCTACTCTTGCTCTGAACACAAAGAACTGAGATGGGGAAGCAAAAATAATGGTGGGAGGAGCAATCTTGACTCAATTTTATAACAATATTTATGTTGATGGGCTGTCAGCTATTGCTCCTTAATTTTTTTAAGAAGTCGGTTGCTAACGAACAGCTAATCATCACTGAATGTAAGTCAATGTGGAGAATATACATAGCAGCAAGTAACAAAAATAGGAAATTTCTTTGGTAAATTACACTACAAGTTTTTTTTTTGTTTTTTTTTTAAATTATTTAGTTATTTTTTTAAACTTTAGATAGGTATTTAGCCGTTTTGTTTCAGGAATTCATTTCTAATTTCACAACGACCAGCAATACCTTTATCATAATTTGTTTCTTTTGTTTTTTTTCAGTTTGGCTATTCTTTGATTTTTCAATTTTAAGCCTTATAAAAAATGATAATCTAAAAAAGATCTTTTGGATCCTAAGGAGGGTGAGGGTCGCCTTAACGGACCCTAAGGTGCATATACCTGAGTTAGTGTTTTAGCTCAGAAAAGTGTGAGTTAGCAATTTTTTATATCTACCTTTACATCTTCATTTTTTTATACAGGTTGCACTATGTTTTGTATGTTTATGTTTTTTATTTTAGGTACACACAAAAGTGTTGAGACTTCATAAAAGTGTTCACGATTCCTTAAGATATATCCTGTTTCAAATTATACACTTTTATATCCATTACAATTGATTAGAGCGCTACACCTGAAACTCCTTCTCTGCACAATTTCTTATAGAACGATAACCATGGTGTAATAGCAGCTCACTTGGTGTACATAATGATATAAGGAAATTAACTACCTGAATAAGCGCTTGTATTCTCCAGTTTTTAAAAAAGAGCTATCTTTATTTAATATTTAAACATTATTTTTGCCTGGACATATTACAAGACATATAATAAAATAGTGCGACCATATTCTATATCTGTTTTATATTTAGCTAACTAAGTCCTTGTTGTTTATTAAGCTAGGATAAGCTCAGTATATAAAGTAATAGCAGCATTCATTCTACAGAAACATTGTAAACATTCAGAATAAGATGTTCTGGGTCTTAGAATCGTGAGATCAGAGTATTTAATATAGTAATAATGGGTAATGCAGAGGGCATATAGGGGATAAGTCCGATTATAATTTTCAGTCGTCTCAAGGCATCATAATAGGGTTAAAAAGTTATACTTTTTCTTTTCATATCCTTTTTATCCTTAGATTGATTAAAGGTAGGGCCTCCCTTCCTCATTTCTTATACAGTGGAGCTCTCCTGATGTTGGTTTCCCCTTTTGGGACTCTACAAATCACCTTCTCCTATTACCTACATATTTTGGAGGGTTACCCCCTCATTGGAGCTCCCTATTAGGTGGTTACAGTGGTGCAGCTCATGAGCCCTTGACTTGTATCCGGACTCCTGACCTGCACTCTGTTTACTTTATTTCTCCATTTTGAGTTTGATAATATATCTTTTAGCTAAGAGAGGTCTATCCAATATTAATGATCTCATCTATATTTATCTTTTGTTTTAACAGGTTGGCTTATTTGACTTTTTTTCCCCCTCAAGATAAATCAAGTGTATTAAATATAGAAATTTTATTCTAGTTAGACCAAATTGCTCTCTATAGACATAACCGGTCAGATAGAATACCAGGGCAAAATGGAAAAAGTTTTTTTCCGAAATGAAGATGGGATATCTTCATTTCGGAAAAAAACTTTTTCCATTTTGCCCTGGTATTCTATCTGACCGGTTATGTCTGACTATTTAGGTGCTGTAGATATCTTCCAATTTCTAGCTATCGTGAGCTTTACAGCCATACATATATGTATGAGGAATGCTTTTTGTTCGAAGCTACAAATAGGGAAGTCAAGATGAAATAGAAAGTTTGGGGAGAAAGTTCTTCTTGTATATGTTAAATTTTAAAAATATTAATATTATTTTTAATTTCAGCGAAGCCACTGCATTCCCACTGCATTCCCACCACATATGGTACAATGTTCCTACCGAGCTATTACATCTCCAACAGAGATCCAAATAATTGTATTTAAATTTTGTTGATTCTATGAGGAATTTGATACCATCAATGAATCATTTAAAAAAAAAAAAATTAATGTAGGCTAAGACTGAGTGATTTTTTTAAACTTGTATAAAACCCTTTCCCCATTCATCTACTGAAAATTATTTATTAATTTCTACTACCCATTTATTTAGTGATAGAGGCTTTTCTGTATCCTTAAGAGATTTTAATAATTGTGTAGTTCTAAAAATGTTTGTTTTAAAAATGTTTAATAAGATTTTCATATTCAGGATGTTCCTTAAAATTTAAGGAAATAATTAGGTGTTTTCTTCTAATTATAGAACGCTTGTTCAGAGAGTCCAAATTGAGTTCGGAATTCTGCAAAAGATTTGAATTTCTTTAGAGGAGCTATTTGTGATAAATTATAATATTACAGTGTCTCCATTTAGTTAAATAAATATCTTGTAAATAGACCTATAAAGTTTCAATAGGTGTAGACAGGAGAAGCTGGTCTGAAATCCTTAATTTGTTTTTAAATATTTTTAATGCTGTTATTAAGCTAAGTTGAATAAAGATATTCTAGAATTAGATCTTTCTTCCATCCTGGGTTTGGGGATACCTGCTTGTCCCATTTAAAAAAAATTGTAAACATTGTAATATATCGTGCAATTCTATTATCTGGGAAATTTATTCCATATTTTTCAACTCTTTTAATTAGAGAATTGTATGAATTTCTAGGTATTCTGGACTCCGAGCAATATGGACGTCTAACTCCTGAGCTCCTCACCACCAAGCTCCTAAAAAGGAAATTGCGACTTACCGCACAAAATGGGGTGTACTAAACGGCAAGAATACCCGCAAACCCCCAGGGGGGCATCCCACCCCTCAATGTCAGAACCCATGGATGAATTTCTACAAACCCCGACGGGGCCTACCCATGAGGTGCAGGGCCCCGTAATGGCGCCGATATCCCCTGCCTCCACTGCCTCGGACCACGATCAACCCACACTAGCAGACATAGGGGCAGAAATCAGGCATCTAACAGCAGTTATGGTCACCAAAAACGACCTGCACACATTGGCAACAACTCTCTCAGCCTCAATCACAACGGCGGTCACGGCACTCCAGAATGACTTGGACACGCAGAAAGGCCGCATCCAAACGCTGGAACACCAGGCCCAAACTGCCCACCAACAAGCAACGGCCACAGACACTGCTGTAGCTAGGCAGGGCAACATGCTCCTTGCCCTGAGGCGCCAAGTGGAGGATCTGGACAACCGGAGCCGCCGCTCCAACATCAGGTTCCGGGGCATGCCTGAATCAGAGGACGGGGAAAACGCAGAGGAACTCCTGACCGGCCTGTTCCGCTTAATTATGGGAGATGATGCCCTGGCAGAGATGAAATTTCATAAAGCCCATTGTGACCAAGACTCAGGGAGGGAGACCTGCGAGATATAAAATGTTGTCTCCACTCCTATTCGCTTAAAGAAAAGATAATGAGGGCAGCCAGGACGAAAGCCACGTGGAGGTGCTCAGGTCTCTCTCTTCCAAGACCTCTCACCGATGACCCTGGAGGCGAGGAGAGCACTGAGACCTGTCACAACGATACTGAGAGACCGAAACATCCCATACAAATGGGGCTTTCCGTTTAGCCTCCAGGCCCGCCATCGCAAAGAGTGGCTGATAGCATGCTGACCTGAAGAAATACCAACCTTCCTGCGCAGACTGGGACTCCAACCCATCACCATCTCAGATTGGATACTCGACCCGATAGACCGCAACGCACCATCACAAGGGCTGCCCGGATGCCCCCACAGGAGACCACGGGAGAGCCGCCAGCACCCGTCCCCCAACCTACCGACAGACCCAGAAGAGTAGACAACCGCCGGGGTCCCGGGAGATGCCTGCTCTCTAAAGCTGTCCATGACCTACGGGTCAAAACAGACACAGGCATTAGACGTCCATATTGCTCGGAGTCCAGAATACCCTTTCCAGCAATAACTGTGAGTACCATTGGTCCCCCTGAC